TAAGGCTACATTTATACCAATTTTTTTGCGAAGTACTAAAGTTATAATTAATTGATCATTAGCTTTAGAAGATACAACTTAAGGTAAAATTTTAAAAGAAAATTTTTATATCTAAAACAGTAGTAACATGCAGAAGATGATATATATATTGTTACATATTTTCAAATTATATTTGATCATATTTAATTGTTCTTTATATACAGATCTAGAAAGTAATATAATTTAATTCATGCATATTGATATGTATATACTTGGTATTGTTCTTTTTTTGAATCTTGCAGAAATTAAAACTTGTCAATCAAATTTTTTTGAACCCTAAGTTGAATTTAAGTATATGGGCGTGCTTGCATACTCATTTACATTCAAGTTATCGAATAAATTTAATTTTAGTAACAATAAAAAAAAAAAAAAAAAAAAAAGGCATATCAATTTTAATTTACATTCTTTACAGTACTACTATAGCTTATAGTATAGAAAATGGTATTTATTTTAGTAATGATAGTGCAAACAATGATATCTCAACAGCTTTAGCAGAGCTAAATGATATATTTTTTGTTGAAGATTCAAGCTCTGAAAGTGAACTAATTATATTAGACAATGAAATTAAATCAGAATCTGATAATGATAAAAGCTTTAATAGCTCTAATAAAATATATTTAAATAGTTTCGAATATATAGATAACCCTAATAATTATATTAAAGACAAAGCTTATGATGACTTAAAATTAAAAGTAAAAAAGTTTTTTAAAAATGGAAAATGTACATGTTACTCTAAATACTTTGAGAAAATCAGATATAAACATTTTCTTGCATATTGAATAGAATTTGAAAGCTTAAGTAAAAATATATGTGATTTGGTTGTTAAAAGATAGCTAATGGCTTTTCAAAAAGATGAAAATATGAAAAAAGTTACTGCAACTAATAGAAAGTACTTACAGTTCAATTATTGTTTTAATAATAGTCTTTTGGTTTGTTGTACTATATATGAAGCCCTTGTTGGGGTTAATCACAAATATATTGATACTATAATACAATATCTAAAAGAATATAGCCTTGATAAACACATTCATAGTAATATAAGTAAATCTCCAAAAAATATAAATCGTGTTGAAATAAATTATGATATGTCATGTGAAATATATACATTTTTAAAAAATTATACTAATGTACATGGTATACCTTCACCTGGATAATATTTCAATAGAATTTCTATGCCTGTTATATTTCTTCGAACAAGTTATAGTTATGCCTCAGTATATCATGATTATATACAAGCATTTAAAGCTGAGTATCCAAATGAGATACATATTATAGCTGAATCAACTTTTACTAAAGTTTGGAAAACTTTAATACTGTCACTTCAATTTATATTACTAAAGTCTGATTTATGTGAAACCTGTGAAATAATAGAGTTAGATATTCAGTATGCAAATGAATATGAAAAAAAAATTGAAATTACTGAAAATTATTTAGCATATCTAAATCGAGCAAAAAAAGAGCATGATTACTATAATGCTAATATTAAGCTTGTGATTAATGATAGTACTTGTAATTTAAATCAAACTAATATAGAATTTAAATCTTTTAATAGCTGTGCTCATATAGCATATGATTGGGCTTAAAATGTATTAGTTTCTTATTTACTGCAACAAATTGAATCTCTGTTTTTTAAAAATCCTCACAAAATACATTTATTTAGAGTTTGTAATATTGGTAATTATCCTTATACAGAGCAAACTAATTATGTAATTGATAAAAGTGAAATGCCTGATGATAGTAAGCAAAGAAAGGGTGTGAATTATATATTAAGTTTAGTATGACATGCAATTAAAAAATATAATCGAGATAAGAAAAAATTAATTATTACATGCGATAACTGTACAGGACAGAATAAAAATAATTATTTATTATTTTTTTATTCTTAGCTAATTGATTGTGAAATGTATGATAAGATTGAGTTAAATTTTATGATACCCAGACATACAAAATTTATTTGTAATAGTTGTTTTGGGTTGATTAAAATTCTTTATCGGAAGAGCAAAGTAAACATAGTAGATGATATTATTTCAATTATTAATTATTCAACATTAGTTCATCTTAATACTGCATAGCGTTATTTAAATAGTGAAGGTTTTCAATACTATAATTTTAAAGTTTATTTTCAAAACTTTAAAAAAATACAAAATATTCAACATTATTATCATTTTTATTTTATTTCTCAACATCCCAGAGTAGTATTCTATAAAGATAGAATTGAAGACAATTACAAAAATACTATAATTCGATCTTTTTTTTTGATTTAAATATTCTTTCTCCAACTATTAATACTAAATCACTTTCTTTAAAAAGGCAGGAGGAATTATATAAAGAAATTTCACAATACATTGATTTACCTTTTAGAAAAATTACGTGTTCTAAACCAGATAAATCTAAAACAAATTAAAAAAACCTGATCAATATACTAATATAACAATAGTAAAAACAGATATATATATACATAAGTAAATTAATAATTATATTGCAATAATATCTTATTATATTGTGATACTGTTTATGACTAAAATAATTTATCAATTTATTGATTAGTAGTTTGTGAAATATCTTCGTTCAACTTTTGTAAAATATTTGTTAAACTTTTTAAGATAATTATGATATATCAAAAACTAGATTTTTGTTCTACATATATAAATAATTTTGATTAAATAAATTGTTCGTAGTGTCAAATTTTATATATTTTTAAATTTTTATAGAATTCATATAAATAACTTCTTATAACGAATTTTTATCTATTCGCTACTACAATATAGTATTTTAGAATAAAAATTATTATTTTATTAAATTAACTATATCTAGTATTCTAGTAATAGAAATTTAGTAATTTTTATATTATTTGATTCGTTATATCAAGACAAATTGAATGATATAAAAATCATTAAATTCCAATTACTGAGTCACGAGATATTATCAATTTATTATAAATTTGCACGTATAATAATTATAAAATTTCAAATGTGATTTACACAAAATTCCAAAATTGGCCAATTCCTCCCTTTTGCTATGGGAGATCCCATATACTAACTATTATTTCTAATAACAATATATGCATTAACAATACTATAGGATTAACTATATGATTAATTCTAAATGCAGACTTTGAAGAGAACGATAAAGGCTTTGATGAAGTTGAATACTATATCTCAGAGAAACCTGCAAATAAAGAAATAGATATGATGGCATAGTAGAAGGTAATGATAGTAATATATAGATTTTTGCTAACAAAATAGCCCTTCAGAACTATATAAATATAGTCCTAAAGGGCTATTTGATAGTAAAATTCTATATATCCTACTAACAGTATATTAAATATTTGAGGTAATAATAGTAATATATAGAATTTTTGCTAATAAAATAACCCTTTAGGACTATATAAAACATAGTTCTGAAGAGCTATTTTGTAAACAAAAATCACATATATTCTGTTTATTAAATATTACTATACATTTAGGAATACCAAATACAATTTCCTCATCTTATGTGTATGGCTAGAGACTACTTAGCTATCCTAGCATCTTCTGTCACTTCTGAATATGCCTTTTTCTTAGGCAGAAATATGATCACAAATAAGAAGTCTAGTTTGGCAACTAAAACTGTAAGAGTAGCATAATGCCTTAAGTCATGGATACAAGGGCTATTAAAAGAAAAGTTAGAAATTTGTAACAAGGTTTAACTTTAAAAACTGTAATATTTACTTACCTAATAAATAATGTGTAAAGTCTATCTACTATTTGAGCATTGTCTTGAAAAAGACTTTAAAAACATAGTGATTACTATAGCAATTATCATGTTCTATAAAGGTCTTTTTTAAGACAAAAATTTATATATTTGTTTGCATATTATGTTATTTATAGTTCTACTATTTACTTCTATTCGCTATTTTATGAATTAAAGTTTACTGTATTACTAGTATATTGTTAACAATCCTAAAATAAAATGAAATAAATAATTAAATAATTTAAAATTATAAATACTGTAATAATAAATAATTAAATTATTAAATAAAAATATAAAACAAAAAAATATATATATAAAAAATATAAAAAA